CCCCAAAACCCCAAAACCCCATGAGTCAAAGATAGCTTAAGAATAGTTGAAAATTAATAGCTGGTTAAAATATTAAGTCGTCATCATCATTACTTTTTTATTAGGTTTTCTTAGGTACTTTGCTACAGAACGCTTGCTCTTGATGTCTGCTCATATTGCATGCTAACCCCTGAAATATTCTGCGTGGTTCTGTACTATTATTACTAATTGGTATTTCTAGTGATATTTTTAATTGTCTATTCCAGTTTTTACTTCTCTTTTAATACCTGGTTTTAAGTCCATGAAGGTAAATCTTTCTTTTTAGCAGTAGTATAGCCTTTACTTTTCTATGAATCATTTTCCTTGTTAATAATCTATGTTATCATAGTTCTTTATTGAATATCTTGATGAGATGCAGATTGCTATTATTGTTAAGTAGATGAATTTTGATTAATCTAAGGCTTATTAGCTTCTCTGGACTTCGTTAGAACAGGCTAAAGAAGGCTTTAATATGGTTGCTAAATAGTAGATGGAAGTTGGTTTTTATTTGCGCTTTAAGGCTTTTAATTTGGTTTTACTTGCTATGTATTAATGCTTGGATTAGCATTAGCATTTATATTTGATTTTCCAATTGGCTAGATACTTGAATAGTTTTATCCTAGTGCAGAGGTTTTAAAATTTTAGTGATAAGTTTTTTGGTATTTCCTTTCTATAGATCTTGGTCTTTTCAATATTTATTATTGAATCGACTTAAGCTAATCAGCTAACTTTTCTCTTTAAGAAATCACACTTTATTTCAGATCTTTGTCAGGCATTGATATTCTAGACTATGTCTTTAGAAATTCTGCATTGACTAAGTGATTCTCATGCTATTCAAGCAAATTCTCGTCTGTAAAAACAACTTACTATTGCAAAGGATATCCATCTAGCTATGGTTCATCCATTTAGTTATCATCCCAACAAGAATTATTCTTTAAAGTCTTGCTAAAATGGTTTGATTTATTGAGATGGACACTCATTTGATTTTTTCGCTTTTATCTCTTCTATCCTTAATTTGAGCTGATAGAAAGACTATTATCACTGAGTTTAAACTAAGGAGTTAGAGTTCTATTATGAGAAATGCTAGATAAATAACTTCTGGATCTTTTCTGAGATTGCTCTTTGTCTTTTTCTTGCAGTACTTATGTTATATACTTGCAACTATCTTTTTTATTCTTGAAGTGATTTGAACCATTTTGGATATTCATAACACTTGTCTCCCCTATATCTTCAGCTTTAGATTTCTCTTATTGCTAAATGAAGGATTGGGTATTCCCACCTTTTTGCAATCTAGTGTTGCTTATCAGATTTCTAGTGGTTTAGAATGGTGATAAGTTCCTTTTAGCTTCAAATCTGTTTTTAATATTACCAAATGGTAATAACTTATCTTTGTCAGCAGGATTCAATGAATGATCTGTTTGCTTTCTACGCAGACTAATAATATGAATTAAAGAATCTAATGATATACATTTAAAATGCTCTCGAATGTCTATTATCGTCAGTTTCCTTTGATTTGGCTTCTTATTTTTATTTGAGTTTTTGCCTATTCTAAGAATTAGTCTGGTAATCCATTGGATTAGTTAACTACTAAATTTTCTTATCGATAATTAATCCCATGTAATGAACTCCTTGCTGTAAGTATGTTATAACATCAAAGGCAAAATGTCTCTTTGTGGACTTAAGTGCGAGTGATATCTCAATCGAATTTAAATACTGGTCATTCAAAACTTTAGTTTAATGCTCACTAAATCTCTTAAGTCTGGCTATTCTTTCGAATAAGCGCATCTGCTTGATAAGCTAAACATTATTCACTCTGAATTCGTTCCTAATCTCAGGCCATGAGACCTTATCAGAAAATCTGCCATTATTAGCCAGGTTTAGAAGGTTTAAAAGACCTCTAGACATCATAATTATGATCTTAGAGGGATCTTCGATATCAGCCATTTCCTATAACAACTTCTTTCGGTCGATAGAATCAATGATCTGAGTAAAGTTTATCTATATACTTTTATATTGCCTATGGGTTTGGCTCTATGATTAGCCTGATTCATTTACGACTAAAATATTTTCTCTTTGAGAAAAGTTTTAAGTAATTTGATTAAGAGTGCTCTATTAAGTTTTGCTTAGGTTTTCACTTTCATGAGCTATTCTTTAAGAATGAGGAATTGTTTACTCATAAGACTTTAAAATACTAAAGCGGGATGAGTTAGGCTTATTGAAAAAATTCTAGTCATCTAAAGTTAATGAATCTTGCTAATCATCCTCACACCTGTGATGGCTGTCTCTGTCCAGAATAGGTTCATATGATTCAGATTGATTTTCATTCTAAAATTTCTAATTGAAATCAGGTTCGATTTATTATTGAAGGTTATGAATGTTTACTGTTTAGTTTGTAAGATTGATGTTCTTAATCTTTTAAAAATAGTCATCCCTAGTAAAGTATAATCAAGTGGAAAAGTAAAATTTACATGTCTTAAGAATAGTTATTAGAGCCTTCATTGATTTCGATCTCACTAGGCTAGAAGTTGAACACATCCTCCTTGATAATATTTTGTAGAGTAAAGTCATTAATATTTTGTAAAATCCCTTCCTTTTCATTTAAAATACCTTTAAATTCTTATTTATTTACTGTATTGATGTTCTGAGAAGGAATCCCATTCATACTTATTTAGCTCTGCTTTTTATTGTAGTTTATATCATTGGCTTAGTAATTATCTTATAAGAAGTCTTTGCTATCGAAGGTCAAGTCTTTATTGTCATTTTCAAATATAGAGTTTATGGTAATTGATGACTTTTACTCGTTCTACTTTTACAAAGCAAGTGAGTTATTCGCAACATATGAAGCTACCACAGCATCAGCATGAGAAGTCACATTATCCTAAATTTTTTTGAACTACTAAAGGATTCTCTGGGTCTGATAGAAATTTTACTACTGTAGCCGCTCCATCGATCTTTCTGCCCTCTAAGGAGTATATTCTTGATCCGAGTCTATTGAATTTAGATTCATTGGAAGTTGCTTTGGGGCTTTTGTTAATAAAGCTAAAAATTCTGTCATTTTTGAATTATTAATTTTTTAATTCCTACCTAACGTATATCTTTCATAATATTCAGGCATATGGGGTTTTGGGGTTTTGGGG